ATAAACAGAAGACTGGCTTTTACTCTGCCTCTGTTAACTTGTAACAACAGTGAAAGCTTGTAAGATTAATAGGAACACGACCCTTTTGGAAGTTAACCTGTTTGCAAAGTGCAAACTTGCATATTTTAATGGTAGTTAATAGTTGGAGCATTTATGAGAGGGATGATGAACAGAGAAAAAGTGCTATGGGACATCCCAGGAAGACTCTTACTGTGTGGTCAGTGGCAATTTTCCATTTCTTTATTTCTTGTAGTTCCTCACTCAGCAGGTTAGGAATTTTCTAATGCTTTGTGTATTCTTTCTAAATTTTTAATTTTTAATCATTCAGAATCAACCTTGTCTCATTTTTAATAGAGAAGAGAAATGTTGAAGTGGTAGGTTCCTGTGCAGCCAGAATTTAAACTGGAAACTGAATAATAGATACATATAATGTACAATTAGAAGGCACGATAGAGAGATTGCTTCACTTCTTCCTTCATTTCTTCTTTTCTATCTTCCTTTCTTTCTGCTCTTTCCCTCCTTCCATTGCATCAAGAAGATAGTCAGAAAGTTATGTTTGTATATTGGCTCCATCAAGGATGTTATTTGAGACTGTTCTTTTTAGAAGACCAAGAATAGACTAGTGTTTTGAATATATACTCATAGGATCATTTTTGGGTTTGTATTAAATTGGTAGTTTTGTAACGAAGTGAATGTTTTTCTTGTGAATTGTAACTCTTCCTCTATATCTGTTCTTTAGAAATTTTCCCAGGGAAATCTTTGCTTTTCTGTTGTGTTTTCGAAGGCTTAACATTGTACCTCCATGATGAAATGAGATAATGTATGTAAGACATTATTTTGAAGATGATGAATAATCCTGTAGCAAGAACTAGGACTCTTATTTATGTTTGAGATTCTAAATTCCTCTTAGTTGGGTTAGATTTAGAAAAACGTACATTTTACTATATTCATTCATTAATTCATGCTGTAACATGTATTATCATCTCTCAGCAAGGGCTAGTAGCTGCTGGGAGTATAGTTATAAACAAGACAAAGATGCCTTATGGAGCTTATATATCCTATAAAGGGAAAAAAATATAAATGATCAATTATACAATAAATGGTATAAGTACAGTTGTGGTAGTACTAAGAAAAGGCATGTTTTAAACATCTGTTATTGGGGAATCCTACTTAGTCTGAGAATCAGGGATGGTTTCCTTGAAGAAGTGATATTTTGATTTTTGAGTTAATTTATCATTATCATAAATGTGATTGAGGAATTCATTTTAAATAAATGCTTAGGGTATACAACCCTAAATACAAATTAAGGTTTAATTAAAAAAAAAACATGGTAACAAATTTATATTCCATTTATTCTTGGTCTTCCATGTGCATAATTCAGTTGAAACTCTTGGTTTCCTTAATTTTAATTGCGGCTTGCATGATTCTTAGCTATATCTATATTTATGTAATCTAAGACTGCATAAACTCAGTCCATTATTTACATTTGACAGTTAATAAAAGCCTTCAAGTTATAATAGATTTGAAAAATATTTGTTGAAATGCATTTAATTTGGATGTAATTCTATTGATAGTTACTTAAATAAGTAAACCAAAGCACTTCTATTGTCTCTCTTTCCAGATAGACTGTGAGCTTCTCAAGGATAAAGGTCGTATCTCCAGAACCTTACAGGATGTGACCCACATAGTGCTAAATAAATACTAATCAATATGAGTAAAATGTAAATAAGGATGAAACAACTTGATAACTGATCTTCAGGTTTCTTTTAAGTGACTTTTTAGTATAATAGTTAATAGCTTGGAGCCTTCATTATCATAAGAGCTCGCTTTGAAAACCAGTTTCTTAATGTGTATTCTTAGGCAGGTTACTAAAATTACTAAACTCCTCTAAACCTCATTTTCCTCATCCTCAAAGTGAGATTATATGTGTACTTAGTGTACCATCTAACACATAGTAAGTGTTTTATAAATGGTGGCTAATATTATTACACAAGATGTGTTAAACTTTTTATCTGAGTTATATCTGTGATATTTAAAGTAGACATGTATGGTGGCATAAAATATTAGTATGTATGAGAGCATATGATTGACCCTTTCCATAATTATGCCAAGTCAAAAAGTAAAAAACCTGTAACTACTAGGCTTTTGCTTATTCAAACTAAACTTCATGAACTGTTAATCACTGATAATTAAGTAGATAATTATGGTTCTTATTGCAGTGAATACATTTTCTTCCTTTATAAGTCAGTTTTTGTTTAAACAAACGAAATAGTTTGTTATTTTGTAATTTTAAAAATGTTTTATAGAGACAGGGTCTCATCATGTTGCCCAGCCTGAACTAGAAGTCCTGGGCTCAAGAGATCATCCAGTTTCAGCCTCCAGAGAAGCTGGGACAGCAGACACATGCCACCACCCAGCCCAAACTGTTTTTATGAGAAAAATTTTTTGTGAATTTCTAAAAAGGAAAAAAATCAAATCTCCCAATCTTTGGTGTAGATTAAGGTATTTGATGTAGGAGGTTTGCCTGAATTGATGTCTGTATAGGCGTATTTAATGCACATATTTACATGTGAGGATGGAAAGACCAGAAAATCTTATTTATATTTCTAATTTTCAGCTTCTGTAAGTAAACTTAGTTATTTTATGTACTTCACTGTCATTCTTTTTGCTTGTATAAAGAGAACAAATACCATTACTCTTCTGTTTTCGAGTATCTTTATGGAAGTAAAGAAGGTAGGAAAACATTAACTTAAGAAACAAATATTCTAAAGTTTCAAAACCGACTTGAAAAAAAATTTAAATTCCTTGTTATTTACAAAGTTATGATTTCCTCACAAAAATAAAATAATACAAATAGTCCTTGATACAAACAAAGCAAAAAACACCAGCAGATAAACAAAACATCTTTAAGGACTTTTTATTCCACATTTAAAACAATGTACTTTTAAGTTTTTCCAACAACAAAATATTCACAAATTAGTGTAAACTCTAGGCATTGGCTGTAGTCAGGGTATTAGTAGAACAAAATTTGGACTATTATTTTAAGAATATTAACATATTTGATTAAAAATATGGGATATATGCCCTCCTGAAAAACTTTTGTTTCTATACATGAAATGTTTTGATTAATTTGTTGGATTATGTGCTTTTCAGATGACTGAAAATATTGGAATTCAACATGTAGTGGGAGTTCCTAGGGGACCATTTAGAGCTGTTTGCCTACAAAATTAAAAACAGCTGGCAGTTTTATGTAAGGCAGCCAGCAACTTATACTCTTACGAATGTAATTTGGTGGGTGAGATTTATGTAATAACTGTTGAATTTGCCTGTTTTTCTCAAATGACTTCATTTGTATTTTTTAATTGCCCCTAGGATGTCACTGAAAATTAGGATTCAGGCATTTTTGCATTTTTACAGTTGCATCATGCCCATGATCATAAAGCAGGTCATTAATGACTTGGTATCTGGATGTTGATCTCCCTGCTGTTTTATCCTTACATATGTTGGGTTATTGTCACCAAGTCACTTTACTGGCTCCTTAATCTACATTGACTTTGGGGCTTAGACATCTTCGCCTGTAATTCTTAAGATAATTTGCTAAGTATTATACAGTGTACACTGAAAAAGTGGACTTGGAAATAAAATTGCCCAAGGAAAATTAAGTTTTTCTCTCAACTTGCCAATATGCATTTTTGGATATATTTTGCCTTTTTTATTTATTACAGTTCTATGTTTTGTCTTTAGATTAGCAAAATTTGACCATGATTATTAAAATCCATCTTCCTTTAAGCTTAATTTCTAACCTGTTAGTGGTGGTCATGTTTCTCCACTTCAAACTGCCCAGCTTGAGTGTTCTAGAGAAAACAGATAAAAGCCTTATGTTTATTTTAAACATTCGGATTACTAGTGTAAACTCTGTTAACTTTTTTTTTAGTAGAGATTCAGGAAAATCTCTAAGAAACTGAAATTTAGAATATTTTATTGGACTAGAAGAATTTTGAAGTTGACTGTAATCACTAATGCCACTGAAAAACCACAACCGAGATTTTTAAAACTACGTATGAAAAAGCAGTATAAAGTGTGCCTGAAATCGAACTCCTCACTGACATTCGTAGGGAGGTTTGATTTATAACAAAGAAGTTGTTTAAACAAGAGTGATTGTTTAGAGTTAGCGATCTGTGTGTATGTGTGGGTTAGGGAGTCCTATTGTAATTGGATGGGAAATATAATTTATTTTCTTGAACTGTGATTGGCTAAAATTCTTTTCTTTCCATGGTATTTTCTAATAACTGAGTCTGAGGATTTTCTATGCTTCTATTATCTGATCAGTGTGTTTGAGCTATGTACTAATACTAAAAGTACCAAGATTGGCGCAGACACGGTTTGTGAAATTTCAGGACGTTGACAAGGGCCCGCCACGGAGCATTTGCTGTTCTTATAATAAAGCAGTGACGAATTTAAATCTCTGAGTAGCTTAAACATGTAATTAGTATCGCCGCAGATGAGAAGAGTGAAAGGATGACATTTCCCCTTCGTTTTCCCTTGAAGTCATGAACGGTTGGTTCTGCTGTGACTTCGGGACTTAGATTTCAGTATAAGTTGTCCTGCTCTGCTGCTGGTACTAATTCAGACTAACTCAAGCGGCGGGCGCCGTGTGCTCTGAACAGCATCGCGCCGGCGGTGAGGCGTCAACCCTGGAGTTTATTTTGTGATCCAAGTGGAACCACTACACTTCACTTTCTCCTCACCTCCACCTCTGAGGGAGCAACGAATAGAAAGGTAGATCTCCAAAAGCTTTGAATAGCTGTCGCTGACTTCCACGCGGCCGTCTTCATTCCTTGGTCCCTGAGCCGCAGCCGCCAGCGGGCCAGGCACTACTTTCAGTCTGCGGTGGTTCCGCCGACCCTCCCGCGGCTCCTGCCCCGCCCGCGCCGGCGGAAGGAGACGCGCGGCGCGCCGCCGCCGCCGCCGGAGGAGGGAGACGGAGCAGTACTGGCCGCGGCACGGTGGCGGCGGCGGCGGCGCGGCGGGCGGCTCGGCTGCCTCGGGCCGTAGACGGCCGCTTAGGGATTTCTGTCAGTTTTTTTGTGTGGCGCTGTCGCCCAAGGCTGCGAATCTGGGAGTCCCCAGGAGCGTTTAGGGGAGGGACCGAGGTCGCTGTGTCCTGAACAGAGGGGCCGGTGCGCCCGGAGTCTGCGCTCGTTCGCGGAACCGCTGCGGTGCCCCGGTCCGCTCTCCTCAGCATGAGCAGCCCGTAGGAGCGAGGTCTCACCGGTTCCCTCGCACTGGAGGCGGCAGCGGCCGCTTCGGCAGCGACAGTTATGGCGGTGGAGACGCGGCCGGAGCTGGTGGGGAAGCGGTTCCTGTGTGTAGCGGTCGGCGACGAGGCGCGTCAGGAGCGCTGGGAGAGCGGACGCGGCTGGCGAAGCTGGCGAGCGGGGGTCATCCGAGCCGTGTCACACAGGGACAGCCGCCATCCGGACCTAGCGGTAAGAGAACGAGCGCCCCCTCCCCTCACCACCCGTACCTTGAGGGCTTCCCTGTGGCACCTGGCTCAGCCCGGCCAACTGGCCGTCACGCCCCTCTGCCGAGCCCTCCGCGCATTTACCCGCAGCCCTTACCCAGGTCCTGCCTCTCTACGAGTGGCTTCCTCTGTGGAGGCGGTGTGGGAGCTGGACTCCCGGGACAACCACGGAGGCCGTTTTGGCCCCCATCCCGGAGGAGTCGACCGCGGCTCCCCGCTGTGGCGCCTGGGCGACCGCGGAGACCTCCCCGAAAGGCGGAGCTGCGATCCGGACGCCGCGCGGGCAGGTGGGGTAGGGGGCGGACCTGGTGGCGATAAGTGGCTAGCTTCCCTGGCATCACTTTTCTTGGAGAAGTCTTCATAGTGCTGTAGCTCAGGACTTAAAACTTATCCTATAAGGTTGCTGAAGGGGAGAGAGAAAAGGAAAAAGACATTCTCATACAGCCCGGGGATTCCTGTGTGTTTTAGAGGCAGAGGTCGTGGCTTTGACTGTGCCGCGATTCATCCTTCACTTAATAGATAACTTGACTTTCTGACCGGAAGGGATAAAAGTGAAAGTATCTGATATGGAGGGTGATCTCTCTCTCTGTTTCCAATGTGTTTTTTTTGATAGTGCTTTGGAGTCAAGATGTTTCTGGGTTTTACACGATTTTAAATAAGAAAAATGTTGTCAATTAAAATATTAAATACCATGCAGAATATAGTATCTTTTTCTTTGCTTTCTTTTCCTTACATGTGACATTGCCAGTGTTTTCTTTGAGTAGTGTAGATATGTGCATGATTTTGAGCTGGAATATGCTCTATTGTGTTCCAAGTGCGTTCTCGCTGAGGGGCAGCTTGAACGTAAGGGGCGGAGTAGAGACAAGACGTAGACTAGACTTCCCAAGGTTGATTTATGAATACATTATCTATGAAATTCAGTTACAGTGTCCTGAGCCGCTTTTTTTCACTGAAAATTTCAAATTCAGGAATATTTTTTCCCTTTGTATGCATACAAACTTACAATTCCAAATTCACTGTAATGTCTGTACGGGTACCTACCTAATATTTTTTTGCCTACCTATTTTAATAGTTTCCGAGGGTGTTTTTGTATGGGTTTTCGTGGTTAATGTGGTATGTATTAATGTTGATTCGATATTGCAGAATAGGTGTGTTTTGCTAATAGGTGTTTCTAACAGGAAGTAAGCAGAAGAGAGGTTGTTTTGAAGGTTTTGGCTGGTTATTTTTATACAAAAATGTATAATCTTCCTTATGGTTGATGTTAATGGTTCTAGAAATTATGGCAGTTCAATTCAGTAACTACTTGTATTTTGTTTGTGTAAAAGGCTGAGAAGAAAGGATTGCTAGAGCTCAGGACTTGGAGTTTAGCCTGGGCAACATAAGTGAGACCTCCTATCTCTAAAAAAAGAAAAGAAAAAAAATATATATGTATATATAAATGACTTAATTGTTTTCTTAGTTGGGAATTTAAATGATGTAAATAGCCAGTTTACATGTTAGTAAATGGTAAGATGTTAAGCTGGGTATTAAAGAATAAATTATCTGTGGATGGTAGGGATTGACTGGAAAGAATAGGAAAGAATTTCTTCAGGTGATGGAAATGTTTCCTACTCTGATTGTTGGTTACACAGGTATATACATTTGTCAAAACTTACTGAATTGACACTATCTTTGTGTTTCACTCTATGTAAATTTTATCAAAAAAAGAAAAATGTATGTTGAACCATAACTATGTGTGAACCCTTGATAAGTTTTCCTTTAAGTCTGTATTTGAAAATTTGAATATTACTAATTTAGTTTTTTTAGCTTAGAATCTACTATTTTAGATTTATTTCCAGACTTTCTTACATTGACATTTCTTATATGAAACTTGGAATAGTTTGGCATTAACATAATGTAATATTCCTGTTGGACTTTTGTTACTGCAGAGTGGATTTTAAGTTATATGAAATTAGGCTGGGTGCAGTGGGTCGTGCCTGTAATCCCAACACTTTGGGAGACTGGCATGAGAAGATACTTGAGTGCAGGAGTTTGAGACCAGCCTGAACAACATTGTGAAACCCTGTCTCTTCAAAAAATACAGAAATTAGCTGGGTATAGTGGTGCATGCCTGTGGTCCCAGCTATTGGGGAGGCTGAGGTGGGAGGATCACCTGAATGCAGTGAGGTTGAGACTGCAGTGAGCCAAGATTATGCCACTGCATTCCAGCCTGGGCAACAGAGTGAGACCCTGTCTCTAAATTTAAATA